CCATTTGTGGACTGTTTCTCAGTTGCTCATGTAATTAATCAAGTCCACCTTCTATACTTATTTGAATAAATGTAAAATAGTACAAATAAAGAGCAGTGCTCTAAAATGACACTTTAGTTCACATTTAATAATAAAATTGGCTAAATAATTGATATCAGTTCACACTAAGAGAAAGGTGAAGTAATATACCTAAAAGTGTTAACAAATTTGCTAAAAGGCCTGAGTAGATAACACTTCAAGGCGTTAGTTTTTATCCTGTTAGAATGGCAAATGCCTTTAACACTTAGTCAACAAGGGCTGCCCAAGTAAAGGGCTGCTTTTTATATTGGATCATTTCTTTAACTGTTTGGACCAAAATAGTATCATGAATAATTTAATATTACAGTTCAATTTTCTGTTCATAACTTGCATGTGATTCTTTTTCCATTACAAGTTGTACTAAAAAAAAAAAAAGTATTTGAGTAGTGCTAACTTAATTTGATCAATTATTATTGAACTTGGGATTCTGCCATTCTAAACAAAAACAAACCCAGAGTTTGGTTGGGTTTTATGAGATGGCTGACCATCAGGCAGCTCATTTCACTGGCTGACAGTAAGTATAGATGATTCAGAATAAACATCCATTTCCAGTAAGTGGCCCATAAAAGTATTTTTTTAAGCAGTTTTTAAATTTTAATAATTACTATATCCAGCTTATACAGGCTTACTTGGGAAAAAGAACGTTCAATATTCCTTGCAGTTTCCAAATCTGATTTTTCTCCAGTTCCCCGAGAAATAATCCAATAAAGCTGCAATTGCTGTTTTGCAGTGAGATGGACAGTCTCCGAAAACTGAGCAAGTGGGATAACTGTCAGTCCTTCGAATACCATAATGTAACCAAAAATACCAGCAGATCTTTTGCATTGTAGATAGAAATGCTTTCTTGTTTGGGTTCCTGACACCAGTTAATTTAATTTGGTACTCTGCTTCATAAGGATGGTGCTTCTTTGTTAAAGTTGGCAGGCAGTGAAGTTTATGAACAGTGGTAATAGCACATGCTGTGGAGGGTCAGTGAAAAATACTTGCCTCCATGTAGAGATTGGCTATTAAAGTCTTTCTTCCTCTTTTTTGGATGAAAGAAATGTATAAACTTCTGTGAAAGACTAGCAGAAACAGGCCAAAGAGATCTCAAAACGTATAACTCATATCTAGCTCCCATGTGCTGTGTAACTAACATGCAGAAGCTTGGGCTGTCACTCCAGGGCTGTGTTAGAATATCAGCCATTTGTGGAAAAGAAGGTGATGAGAGATGGAAGTAAGTTGGTTCCAGTTTCCAAATATCTGTTTTTTCAAATGGCATCATCTAAAGTCAAGTAAACAACTTGGAAGACCCAAGATCTATTCTGTTGGTTTTATTTATTAAATCTTTAAAGGTTTTATGTTAAAAATTTGATGAACTTTGGCTTTAGCATTTTCTGTAGAAATACAAATGTGTAATTACAGTATTTTGTGTGGCAATTTCGCTTATCTTTGGTAGAAAAATTATGCAAAACTTGACCTATGGATCATTTCCTCCTCAAAATTCCTGAATTTCAGTATTCTTTTGAGCAGTTCATTCTAATCTGTATTCAAAACAAAGGAAGGAATATTAACATGAAAACGAATACACAAAATTGGTACGGTGCAAGGAAGAGTTTACTTTTCCCATAATTTAGCTAGTAATTAAAATCTGTAAGGAGAACAGAGCAGACGCAAAGGAGTTAGTGAGGTCACACAAAAGAAGCATCAGCGACCAAGGACATACTGAGTATGTACTGAGTTTTTAAAAGATGACTGAGAATTATTAAACCTGCATTGTATACCACCATTAGCTAATTTTTATGAATTCAGGTAAATTGGTTGAACTGCACAATAAGAGTGGCAGCTGGTCTTTAGTACCTTTACTGTCTCATGACGTGCTTAAAGTGGAGCAGTGAAGTTTGCAGTTGATACCTCCTAATGTGGTCATTTATATATATATATATATATTTAAACACATATAGCATGCAATATCATTCACAGTGAATACTATGGCTTTAAAAAAAACCCAAAACAACCTAGCAAAAGCTAAGCAAGTTGATTTACACCAATGAAGCATTCCTTTATGAATTAGCAACATTTCCTATACTGAAAATAAAGTTGAGTAGCAGTGCTGGCAACTGGCAAGGGGACTTCTAACTTTTGAATACAGAAACTACTTTATCTCATAGAATGCCTAAAGATTTGATGAAGTAATGTTAAATATCCCCTGTTTTGGACCATCACCAAGGTAATAAGCATTTGGAATCTCCAAGGAATATAGAAATCATAAGGAAATATTAGAAATCAGTACCGTAGGTTTACACCCTGCTTTAGTTCCTATCTTCTCTTAAACTAAAGGTTATTTATTTGCCATGTTACATAAACAAAATGCATTAATGTTTGTCTTTGTTTCCTCCCCATAAGTGGTGAATCTCCTAACTGATTTTACAGAGGCATCTGTATAGGGGACAGAGACATGATTAATTCCTCAGCTGCAAGATGGATGTCAGATCTTAACACACACTAGAGTTTCCGTAGAGGAGAGCCTATTTGAGAACCGTGGTCTGCAGAGTAAACTTCAGTTCAAGCTCCTGATTTTTGAGAAGCTAGTCTCAATCAAACATCAGCATTAGCCTTCCGTAAATCATGGAACTACTTATGCTAGTTTGGGGGAGATTTTTTAAGCTATTCTCTATTTAAAAAAATACTGAATGGTATAATGGGAAGGTTACTTACCGTGAAATGTTAAACAAAATCTGGAACAAATGTAGAATGTATATGGTGATCACAGCATGGGTATTATTGTTCATCCTAAAGGTGAAGGTTACTGAGTTTGTATTATTACCCTCACTGCAGACCATCTCTGGTCTAGAACTGATAGAAAAAAGGAGTTGTTAACAAACTAGAAAGTTACTTTTAAAATTAAAACCCAGTTTATCTGGGCTTTATTCTTTGCAGTGGTTGTAGAAACTTGAGTGTTTGTGCTTTCCAAATTCTAAGTGAACGCTTGAAAGTGAATCATTAGAATAGACTTAAAGCAAGAGAGAGACGGTTAAAAAAGTAAACTGACATTCATATGGAGGAAAATAATAGGAACAGTATCAGAAAATGATTGGGCATTTGAGGATTTACAGTCAAACAATTTAATTGTAGAAAGTTTTGTTTAAGTGATTCAGGTGCTCTGTTCATCTGGTTCTGTGAAATGTTCTGAGGAACTGCTCACAGAGTTTTTCAGCATGAGTGCTAGAGGAGCATGTCTCCATTGGAGCATCTCATTGTTGGCCTAGGGTTACACCAGACAAATACTTGATGAAGGGGTGAGGTTGATGCAAAATGGACCTTTGGTGAGAATACAGGTGAAAAGTTAAACCTATTGGAAGACTGCTGAGAAGGCCAAAGTGACAGGAATTAGCAATGAGTAGTAAGAAGTGAGGAAGAGCAAATGTAACAAAGATGGTCAGCAATATCCAAGTTGGAAATAAAGGTTTTAAGCTATTATGAAGCAGCTGTGGTTGACACAGATCCGTGCATGTATATGAGTTTCAAAATACAAAGATTGGATTCAAAATATAAGGATTGGATCTGGAATTAATAGAGAAGGTGTTTGTTGATGCTAGGGGAGAAAAAAACCAAACTGAATTTTCTTATTGTCTGTATTCTAAAGACTAGATGTTGTTTTTGTGTGTATGAAAAAATGCAGAAAAGACAATTATTATACAAATGTAATATTTTGATTACTTAAATACCTGGTTTTATCTTCAGGAGATAATGGCATGTGTTGACTACTTTCTTCTGTTTCATGTCGTGTGGATGCACATTGTACTGAATTTCCTCTTACAGGGAAAAATCTGGAATTTATTTGAAGCTTTTCCTTTTTTTCCCCAGTTTTACTTACAACTGTGGAATCTAAGTTCTAAATCTGCAAAATGTTTGTGTAAAAGCACCAGTTTTCCTCTTTTAACTTAATGTGGAGTATCTCTTTTTATTTACCATACTCCCTAGTTGCTTTGTTGCCTTTCTAAGTTTACATCACTTCATGCAGAAGTAACCTGTGTCTTTTCAGCAGAAATTTGTTGTACACAATTTTGTAATAAAGTAATGAATGTGCTGTTAATTGCCTGTGATGAGGTATACTGGTGTGGAATTCTGTATATAAGAACAACATTTCTTTTGCTCCTTGAGAAAGGGACATAGAAACTGCTGCCTCCTGTGTTTTTCATTTTCAGCAGTACACAGAACCTGTTTCAACCAATCATTCACACCTGGGACAGTTGTGCTAATTTTTGAATAACTACTCATAAGGCAAAGAGCAAAGTATTTTGTTCACAGCTTTTCCACCTAGGGATCAGAGGTCCGTTTTTTCTCTCACTGTACCAGTGTATCTGCAAAGTACTCCCATAGCCTTTATCTGCAAGTCCTCTTTAGCTGAAAGCTGATGAAGCAAAGGGAAATTGCTGTTTGTGTTGGTGCCAGTTAATCATGCTAGCCCAGCAGCATTTACATTCACACCACTGTAAGAAACACATAGTTAATTGGAGAAGGGGCCATATTTTACAGCTGAGGAAGGTTTGCATTGCAGCAAGGCTGACTAATGGAAACTTATCTGACTCTTAGCCTGAATGGCTTGTAACAGGTTTGTACCCAGTGCAATACTTGCTAGTTTTATATTTGACTGATGATGATAAGATTGCTCTTTAGACTGTGTTCTTTGGTTTGGGGGGAAATGGGATGATGTCTGGGTGACCTTTTACAAAATACATTAGTGAAGGAAGGTGCTGCAAAGAAGTGTTTAGTGTTTGAGTGTGCATTTTTTTGTTTTGTTTGTAACAACTGCATCTAATCCACAAAGTCACAGTTATACATGCATTTCTCTGTAAGTTTTGTAATATGGAAAACAAGAAAATGTTTTGAAACTGCAGAATAACAATGGTGGAGAAAATAATTATTTATTCTTTCCATAGGGGCCACCAACAGATGCTCCTGCAGTTGATACGGCAGAACAGGTTTATATCTCTTCCCTTGCACTGCTGAAAGTAAGTGTTCTGTGCGTACTGTCTCTGAGTATAGTGCTGGAGATAGAGCACCTGGCAGCTTTCCAAAGTTTATGGACTTGTATTCCCTAGGTGCTGGTCAGACTAATTTTATAAACAAATTAATACTGATTGCAACACTCAGAAACTTACTCTAATTAGTTCTGTTCTGCTTTGTTGGCTTTGTTTTTACTATTTTATAGTTCATTACAGTTTCCAAATCTGCTACAAGTTGCAAATTAACTATAAATCAACAAAGGCTGAAAGAACTACCTCAAATCAAACTTGAACCTCCTGTTAAACATATAATGTCATTTGGTCTTGATTCCAGATGTTGAAGCATGGTCGTGCTGGTGTCCCTATGGAAGTCATGGGTCTGATGCTTGGAGAATTTGTTGATGATTATACTGTGAGAGTGATTGATGTTTTTGCAATGCCACAGTCTGGAACGGTGAGTTCTTTGTATCTAGACCTTGATAATTTTGTTGCTTGTTTGTTTTTTTCCTTATGGTAAATTTATTTTTGAAAGCTTTGTGTGCTTTGCCTCTGATGCAATCTGAAGGTATAATGTGTGAGTTATAGTTCGAACAAGTCTGATGGATTTAAGGGTTTCAGTAAAACTGAAAAAAATTAGTCAAAACTTTTTTTAGCAAAGTCTAGTACTGAAGTGTGTATATCAATATATGCATATATATGTTATGTTCTTACGTAGAATAAATATATTGGTATTACATGACTTATAAGATTTATAAATTGATAACTTTCAGAACTCATATACTGTGAGCCAGAAAAAGGATTCAAAACTTGAAATGTTTGAGGAGAAGCATATCATGCACTTCATTGTGATGGTGCTATAGATACACTTCAAACTAGATATACTTCAAACTTCCTCTCTTTGTCAGATCTTAGTGGCATGTCTCTTAAATGATATTTTTGTGATGTGAAAAAATTATGTATTTTAATTTTGAGTAAGAATATCCATTTTATAAAGAGATTAAAGAGATTAATCAAGGGGCATAACTGAGATTTATGATGCTTTATTTTGTGTAACTAGAATGAAATGTTCTCAAAAGAAGCAATGGGGTCCTTTTGTAACTCAGAGCTGCACATCAATTAAATCTTCAAAGTCTTTTGTCCTGAGTTTATTCTATACCTGTGCATGATATAAATATCTGCATAAAGCCAATATATGATATTTATCTTGAATAAAACCTGTAGAGCTGAACTTGTGAGAAACAACAGGCCACTGTTTTGCAGAGCAAACAGAGGAGGAAAAGATAAATTCCTGTGCCTATTTAATCATGTTTTCTCATTGTAGAGATTACTTACATAGCAATTCAAAATCTTCTTTCAGTATTTTAAAAATCACATTGAAATACATTCCTAAAAATTGTATTTTGCGTTTAAGGGAGTTCTATCTTGTAGTACTATTCAGGTTGCCTTTTTAAAAAGATACTTATAAATATTTTTTTGTATGGAAAGTAACAAGTTAAAAGATAATATTACTTTATGTACAACTAGTATGATGTTTGTCTGTCCTTTGAATCAGGGTGTCAGTGTGGAAGCAGTGGATCCTGTATTTCAAGCAAAAATGTTGGATATGCTGAAACAGACTGGAAGGTAAGTCACCGTACAGAGGGCTGTCAGTAACAAGTACTCCTTGCATGATTCTTAGAAAAAACAGCTGGCTTTCTGCAAAACTAGTGATCTAGGGGCTATTAATAATGTTTAAAAATAAATAATTGGCCCAGAAATTAAGTGAGTAGCATAGCGTGTAATTCAGTCCCCTTCCTGCATTTCAGTTGTCAGGAGACTGTCACTCCTGTTAAACCTACAGCTTTGATTATTGCACAGAAAGATTAGAATGCTGCTCAATTTAGTGTAGGTGATTACTACACAGTACCTGCTTAAAAGATTGATTTTTTTATTTAACCCTTTAAATAAGATTTTAAAAAATTAGGAAGCTGTAGCTTTTTCATGAACAATTTTAATGAAAAGAAAGGGAAAATAATTTTGTAAAAAATTCTAGTATTTAAACAAATTTTTATTTTACTCCTACCTCTCAACAGTTGTCGTCTGCTTGCTCAAATTCTTTTACTGTGGGAAAAACTTCAAAATTAATGTTAGCAAAAGGCTCAGCAGCTGAACAGAACAGTGCAAATTGCTTTTTGACTGAGTTCCTAGTTCTACTGCTGGTTTAATTGATATTTAATCCTTTCCCACCGTTGGTTCCCGTTGTCCATGTCTGAAATGGACTTTCTGCCGTGAAAATTCAACCTTCAATGCCAAGGAGTTAAAGAGTAGATATTTACTCAAGTGCTGAAAGGGTAAAAACTGGTTCAGGGAAGGTGTGGTAACAGGGTGAAAAACTGAAAGCATGATCTACCACTGCTAATGTGTATCCCTTAATGATAGCCCTCTTTTGTCGCATTTATTCATGTCCGTGTTTTCACCATACTATGGTGAGTAATTTAAATGTTACCAATGGTGTTTTGTTCACAGCTCATCGTAATTTATGCCCTGATACGTTCCTACTTCTTCTTGCGATACATGTTTATATTTTTAAGAATCTCAATGTCCTCTTTGTTTCAGACCTGAGATGGTAGTTGGTTGGTATCACAGTCATCCTGGCTTTGGCTGTTGGTTGTCTGGTGTAGATATCAATACCCAGCAAAGCTTTGAAGCCTTATCAGAAAGAGCTGTTGCTGTGGTGGTGGATCCCATTCAGAGTGTAAAAGGAAAGGTATGGTAGGCTTGCTTTTTATTTTTAAGGTACTTCGGTAAGATTTAATTTAGAGGCACTATAAATATGTGTAAGTTCTTGATTTTTAGAGGCCTATATTGTATTAAAAAAATAAAAATTTTTAAAAACCCACCTCACTGTAAATGAAAAGATCATTTCTAGTTTATTCCTCAGCTCACATCAGTAGTCCTTAAACAGGCTGGAAGTCTTTGATATTGTTAGTACACATAACCAATAATAATTCTCTCATAATATTTTGCTATTCAGGTGTCACTCAACAGGTTTGCAACTAGTAATTCAAGTATACATTGTTTTATATGTTACATTTTAGCTACAAAATCTAAGATCAGTTACTAACAGATTGGAAAAGGTTCCGCCCCTTAACTTGAGTACTAAGAAGGCATTGATTTACAGGCATTGCATATGATGGGTTTTAGTATAATTTCTATTCTAAATGTTTTGGGCAATAAAACTACACAGAGTAGTTGATATCAAGCATTTGAGTTTTAGAAGTGTGCAGATAAATTATTAAGTACGTTAAATTATTATGAAAAGGGATTAACTTGCAAAGCATATTGGGTTATAGTTGTCCTTTGTTGAAATCTCTTTTGTTCTTGTTTAGTTCTCTTTTTATTTCTTTCTAGCCCCATATGCCATTTTCCTATTTCCTGCCTCATGACAGCAGGGAGCAGCTCTATTATCACCTTCACAGAGCTGTCTGCAAATGTGAGAGGCAATTCGATTTTGCTCAACCACAGGGAGAGTGGATTAGAAAAACTACAGAACGTACAGAAATTGGCTAGGTGGTTTACTGCTTTAAAATACTGCTGAGGTGTTTTGTTTGAGCATGCACTCCCATTGTATTGTAGAATAATTATTGAAATGCATCATGGTATATATGGATGATGTTCGTGTAAATTTATAAATATTTTAAAAGTGTTTGTCTTCTATAAAGCTGTAGTATCATATTTCATGTGAGGCAGATCGTATTAAAGCTACTAAACACTGTAGATTCCCTTAATTTCGTAATAGAGTGTTCTGAAACTACAGTTGCATTTTCAGTTTTGTGTTTTTTTTTTTTAATTCTAATTTTTAATAGCAAATATGTTTATGTAACAAGCAATTGAAAAATGAATAGCTTCTGGTTGTTTGGAAGCTCTTAGACAGCTGAATCAATTTTGTTCCTTTTTAGATTGCATAAAGAGCAGAAGAAAATACAGGTACTCTGGGGCAAAAAAAGATGCAGTAGAACATTTAATTATTCCTGACTTATTTTTCCTACAACTTTTTCCCTTTGCTTTTTTCTTAATTTTCCCACTCCAATAGAAATATTGAAATAAGATTCTTTTTATTTTGTCAAAATATAATAGTCAGGACTATTACTAGTGATTAATTTAGACCTCACTAGCTATTAAATCCATTAAGAAGAAAAGCCTCCCAGTAAGTCACACACTTGCTCACTAAGTGCTTCTTTTTAAAATAATTTTATTGCCACTGTTGCTTGACAGATATCTATCTTAGAGATCTTTGATCACTTCAAGAAAGTAATCTTTAGCATATTTATTTTGAATGTGAATAAATTTTTGTCCATCTAAACTTTCCTCAGTTACAGCTGCTCTTACGGCATTGCTGCCAGTATTTGAGATTACTGGAAGTCTTGTAATGTTTGTTTTTCATACACGTTTTTTAGCTGCTACAGTCAGATTAAATTACATTCTCAGGTTTCACATTACAAAAAATTTACATCTGTCATGTTCCTGGCAAGTGCATCCTTTAAAGCTCAGAAATAGAAAGAATCCCCCAAATTATGAATACCACTTTTAAATAACTTCTTGATTCAGAAGACTGTGGAATATGTATGACGTTTATGATCCTGGTTGGCAAGATCACTTATATTAAAATATGCTCAGATTTTAGATAAACCGAAAGAAGAACAGCTACATTAAAGTTAAAGGGGTTTTCTTAGGTCAGGTTCGAGTGTCTCATGTGCATGGCTAAGTTATTATGGCATCCAGTGCCTCTTTGTACGTTAGACAGCTCGAGCTAAGCCTATTCCAGGGAATTATCTGTATTTGTTAGTGCCAGCAAACGAAGAACCACTTGCAGAGGTAATTTTGCTGGTGTAGTAGCCACCATACTGGTGGGCTTTAGCTGCATGAGTCCAAGTTCATTACTCATTACAGCTTATACTAGTGTGTCTGTCCAGCAAAAAAATAGAGTGAATGTGTGGCGTAGAGAGTTTTAATACCTTTTTTTTTTCATTGAGATTAGATGTATTTGAAAGCAAAGTCCAAAATAACACATTAGCTAATTTTAAACCTGCCTCGGGGCAGGTCCATGCCCATGTGAATTGGTGTGGCTTATGGTCACTGAAGCTGTCATGGTTGCACTAGTGAAGAATAACTGGGTTATTGTCATGTGTCAGGAAGTTGAAGTGAATTCTGATGAGGAACCTCAGGTTCACCTTGATTAGCTAAAACATTAAAAAGCAGTTTGCCCTGTTACTGGTAAAAAATGAAAACTTGTTAAGTTCTTTGTTAACTGCCTCATCTGCATACGTGTGTTCCAGATACCTCATAGGACAGGGATGTATGATTGCAGTTTCAAGATAAGAATATCTGTAATTCTCATCAGTTCCAAAAAAAAAAAAAAAAAAAAAAAAAAAAAAAAAAAAAAAAAAAAAAAAAAAAAAAAAAAAAAAAAAAAAAAAAAAAAAAAAA